TCCTATTGGCATTACAAACCTCTTATTTTAGCCACTGTAACCAGCCTTCTCAACCTCTACTTATCTTGACTATTTTTTCCAATGATTTGAATGCAGCTCTATTAAATTTTTGTTGATTTAAGCTATCTATCTGGGTTTTGTCCTTCCAAATGTTCTCTTACCTACTATTGAGGCAAAATAAAATAGAATTTAATCTATAATTGGATATTGGAGGTTTTATTGTAATATGAATGGAATTCTTTTTAATTATTTAATCAATTACTAAAAATGTTAGTAATTCTTCTTATTTTAGTAATCCTTACAAAATAATTTTTTGTTAATGATTTAATATATTTTTCATGATTTCAGTTGAAACATGCAAGAAGAGGTGGAGAGACATAAAGGACAATTATTACAAAATAAAAAGGAAACAGAAGATGGGAAATTGTAAATGGCCACTAGTTGGAAAGTTGGCATTTCTTGATTCTGTTGCTTCCGACAAGAAGTAAATTATATTTATCGAACACTTCAATAATGAAGCTAATCAAGCCATTTATAATTAGAGAAAAATAAAACACTCATATTTTATATTTTCAGGATGGGCCATCATCATTTTGAAAGGGATGTATTACAATTTTTACCTTATAAGAGTAGTCCTTTGACTGAAACTGGAAATAAAAGACAGGAAGTTGAAGAACATCAAACCGTACATCTTTTCCCAAGCACTTCAAAATCTGAAGAAAGGCATCAGGAACTCCCAAAACAACAAGATGATGACGTAGATTTGTTTATGCAGAGCATTGCGCTTCAAGTGAAGAAGCTTCCACCTCAGCTGGTAGCTCGAGCGAAATTAAACATATTAACGACTGTTCATGATTTGCAGTTTGAAACTTCAGTTAGTGATCAAAATTTAATAGTGAATAATGTTTAAGAAGAAGTATTGAAAACAATAACAAAATAGAAACCGACTTCTTAATATAAAAGTTGTAAGATCAAGTATCTTTGTAAGTATGAAACATGAAATTAATAAGGAAAAAATACTTTTAAAGTTATAAAATAGTTAAATGCTCATATATATATATATATATATATATATATATATATATATATATATATATATACACATTAAAATACCTATAAGTTTCAGTAACTGATAAATACATGTTGGACATTTGATACTTATTTGTAGAAATAAGTGATTGAATAATCTTAAATTAACAATATTTTGTCTCGTAACTTATTTTCTAATGGTGCTAATATTGTTGACTTTAGATGTAATTCAAAAGTTGGTAGCAGAGGGAGGTGCAATCAAAGAAGAAAACACAGTGATAACTAGAACTTAACATATAAGCAAAACAAAATAACTTTCACCTTGAAGTAGATAGGTGTGGATATATATAATTTGTAGAATATAAATGATAGCTTGTAATTATGAAAATTAAAATAATAACAAATGAATGAAAGAAATAATTGTATATATAAAAGCTTAAATAAAAAGTTATTATATTAATTTTCTTTGTCATAATTCAAACAAATGTTCACGTTTGCATATCATATTTTTCTGTCAATCTATTCATATCTCTTTTTCTCTTCAAAAGTAGCCCTATGATAGGGTGATGTATATCAATAATCCAAGCCACAAGGCTTTTTATTATTCCTACATAATAATGATACATATCTCTTGTGTATGCATTACAAATAAGTTTTACTTGTATCTGAGTTTTCTTCTTTGATCAAAACCAACTTCTTGAATTTATTTGTTCTATATCAGCTATCCTTGATATTGAATAATTATAACAAAATTTAAAGTCATGTGCTTGTTAATTTGATTTTTTATTAATTGACATTCATTTATGTAAATACAAGTTGTCTTAATCACATAAAAGCAATTCATTTTTTCAACAAGAAACTGTATAAGTAAAAAAATGTCGCTGAGAAAACACTATCACATTGCATTAAACACTATCATATAGTTACGTTAATACCATGAGATCTTTTTGGGACCTCAACTATTTTTTCCTTTTTGAACTTCACATTACTGAATAGAAACAGAATTTGGTAACATACATATTTTGTGATCCTGATAATGAATTGCACCTTGATATTAGTCTTTTTTTTTTTTTTGGTAATGCCAAAAATAAATAAAAATTGTACCTTATTTATCCTTATTAGATTGTGAACTGTTTCATAAAAATAATTTATTTTGATGCACATTTCTATCAAATTCAATATCTATTTTAAGAAATAGTATTACTACTCGTAAATAGAGAATGAATTGGTATAAAAATGAATGGATATTAACAAAACGATTTAGTCTAAAAATGGAACAAACAGTTGAGTCAATTGTTATAAGAAAAAACAAATAACAGAGTAGTACGTAAATAATAAAGTTTTTGGAAAGACAATGGGACACAGGCATGATTCTCTTATATAGTATCAAGTGTTTACTAAATTAAGACCTAGTACAATTTAATCATTTAACTTTAAATAAGGAACATTTTGGTAAATTAATTAGCTATTCTTGAGGTTCCTACAACTATACACACTAATAGATCTTTGTGATAAAAAGTTAAATTATGGTTCGTTGAATGATAATTTACTATGTATTTTTATGATAATTTGAAATTAAATACTGATTTAATATATATACATATATATATATATATAATTTTTTTTTTTGTTCTTCCCTACCTCGCCTTTTTAGGCTAATCTGGATTTTCTCAGGCCGGGGAATTTAAAATCCCCTCCAGCACCGAGACGCGAATTTGTACTTTTTAATCTCTCACAACTTCGGTTATTTGGTTGCCGGGCAACTTGCGGTGCTGTACACATGCTTTAGCCCATTCGGCCTACCCGCCCCCCAAATAATAAGTCATAGATGTCACCCCTATGAGGCGGTGCGGACAAGTCCCTCCAAATGTTTGAAATGGTCTCATTCGTCTCCATCAATAGTTTGAATGGTCCCATACAAGCTTCAGAAAATTTGGAGATTGCAGTCAAAGAGGTACACAAAAGAGTACCCTACTCGTACACTATCGTACACTCTGAGTGAGGAACCCTGAAGCTTTGGTGCTAAACGTCGGCACAAACAAAATAAATTTAATTGATTTTTGTGTACCTTCATGATTGCAATCCCCAATTCCCCTCAGAAGAATTAACAGTCAACAATTTCTTTGCAACGATGATCCACGGGGCCAACAACTAATATCTTAGAAATTTGCGTAAGAATAAATAAACCTACAATTGTAATTGTATGGTTGGGAATTCCAGTCACAGAGAAGACAAACATAAAAATAAAAGATTTTTTAATTTATTTTGTGCCTAAGATGCAGGCTTTCATTAGGGCAGAGAAAAGACAAGGCAACAACCATAATTATTAAAAACCATTGTAAAAGAATATGAGAACAACAAATATGTTGCCTACTAATAAATAAATTTTAAGAAATAAATAAAAGTGAAAATATATGTGAATTATATGAAATGGTATGGTATTAAAATAGGAATGAGCTATAATGAAAAAATAATAAAGTTAAATTTTAATTTTTATCTATCACATCTTAAAGTTTATTTATTTGCAGATGACATATTTTTGTTCTCAAATCCTTTTATAATAATTTATAAAAATGATGGTTATCTTATATTTTCTCAGCCCTGATATATAAGCCTGAAATGGCACAAAATAAAAATATTTATTTATATAAAATAAATACGAATAAAATTAAATGATGGGGAAGAAGGTTAATAAAACAGTAAAAAAAAAATTAGACCTGTATAACAAGGTTAAAACCCATGCACATCAAAATTTTAAATAAAAATATTCAATCAATCAAAAATGGAAAGATATAAAAACAAAAAAAAAAAAATCTCCTTCTGAATGTTTACAAAATTTATTATTAAAATAAAAAAAAGATATATACATACACAATTTAATATAAACAAATAATGGTATGAAAGTTCATTGAAGAAAAAATAAAACATAAACACAATACTCAATGACAATAAAAAAAATTGTCCATCAAATATAACATATATAAAAAATAAACTTCTAAAATTAGAGATAAAACAAGAGAAAAAAAAACTTAAAATTGAAAAATTTAGAGGGGAAACAAAAATAACATCCCAGAGGAAAGTAAATAATCTTACTTCCACGAGGTTACCTCTATTGATGTTCTGCAGTCGATGGTGGAGAGTATTGATACGCGTATCGATGTGCCGATCAGCTGTGGCTAGAAAATGGCGCAAGGTGAGGTGAGACAGAAGCGGCTGGTGGGATGGGAGGGTCTGATGTCTAAATACATAGACCCTACATCTATGAAAACTCCGGGCAATCTTATAGCAAGTATTGGTGTCTTAATCCTTAAGACTCAGTATTACTACCAGGCTGGTGTGTATATACAAACGCGATAATACATCACAAAATGCCTATTAATATACATTTCTGGAACAAACATATCTTATCTTTATTACAAAAAAATAAATAAACATTTACTCAATTAACATTAAAAAAGAGGGGTGGTGAGAAAAATAATAGTGAAAAAAAAAAAGATGCAAGCATATGCGTTGTTAACACAGTGTTTATAAAAATAAAAATTCTAGTGCTTTCCGTAACCCATCGTCCAAATTATATTTGCATCAGTATCAACCTTGACGAGAGGGCTACCATCATAGGTATTGGAAGAACTGAGGAGGCCACCAAATTTAACAGTGTCCCTATCTGAAAAATAGGATTAAAAAGCTAAGAGTTAAAAAATATATCAATAAATGTACAACTTGAAATCAGTAGTGCTAAGAGATTTAAATAATATTAATTAAGTGACATGATGGAACATAGTATATAATCCAGGTATATTGTTTACTTTAATGACTTAGCAGTTTTGAGTCAAAATAAATGTTCATGTTAAATTAAGTATGCTATTCCTTTGTGCTTAGCAATAATTATAAAAATAAATCATAAATTATTTTTTTAAAAAAATCTACTTTTTTCAATATATCAATTTCTGAAATATCTCAATAAACATAAACCCAGCATAATAGATTGCTATTATTTCTCTAAATATCATAAAAAACATGGGAAATGAAGATCATAGTTATATTAAAAAGATATTTTGTTAATCTTTTTTTGAATAAATATCATACTAACTTCTTCTTCTTCTTCCACTCATTTGCCTCTCAGCGTGGAGGTGCTGCCAGCCATCGGTTCCATGCATCCCTGTTCCCGGCAAGGTTCATCATCTCTTCCAGGGTCTTCTCTCTTCATCTTTCAATTCGTTCCAAATGATTAACATATGAGGTTCTTGGTCACCCTCTTGGTCTTCTCCCCATCGGCTTCACCTCTAGGGTTTTAACTGGGTCTCTGTGGTGGTCCATCCGGCAGACATGCCCGTGCCACTTCAGTTGTCTCCTCTCCAGAGTTTCTAGCACGGGGCGTATCTTTAGCTCCTCCCTGATTCTGTCATTTTGTATACAGTCTCTCTGCGTTTTCCCCACAATTCTTCTAAGAAACTTCATCTCAGTGGCAGTAACACGGCTTTGTAGCCTTTCATTCAGGATCCAACTCTCTGCTCCATAAAGAAGTACCGGTAGAAAGACAAACTTGAATAGATGGAGCTTCACATCCTGCCTCATTTCCTTTTTCCTGATTACGGTATTGTATATTGTATAGTAGATGGAATTTGCTTTTGATATCCTGCTTGAGACTTCTGAATCTACTTTTCCCGACCTATTGATTACCGAACCTAGATAGGTAAAGTCTGTCCCCACCTCCATCACCTCTTCATTACAGACAACTCGGATGACTTTGATGTCTGTGAAGAATCTTCTGATTTCTTTGGTATACAGAAAGCAGTCAATCACACTGTTAACGTTTCCCTCCTTTGCTGAAAAGGTTATCTTATGAACCACTTTATGCAGATAAAAGGAATTGCCTATGACAAGATCATTGTCTATGCAAAATTCCATTAGTCGCCTTTCTTTGTTGTTCAACATTCTTTCACCTCCATGTGGGCCCATACATCCATGGGCTCTTCTGTGGTCAAATCCAGTCCTTGCATTGAGATCTCCCATAATAGTAACATTTCTACTTCAACTTTTTTTTTTTTCAATTATGCGTGCTAGGTCACTGTAGAATTGTTCTACTTCGTTCACAATAGAGTCCTCAGTTGGTGCTTAGACTTGGACTAGTGTTACTCTTCAAACTGAGAAAATTAGATTGGTAGATATTATTCTGGAGTTTACCCTTTCCCAATCCTGAACTTTCTGAAAAATGTCATCCTAAAAAATTAATCCAACTCCCTCCTTTGCTCGGTTACCTGGTGGTACTCTTGAATATAGCAGGGTATATCCCTTGTCCAGCTGCATTTCTCCTGACCCTTTCTTTCTAATTTCACTTACTCCAAGGATATCAATTTTGTAGGTCTCCATCTTAATCTCCTAGCCATTGAAGGACCGTATATTCCATGTACCGAATCTGATTTCCTTTAACATGCCAGGTTGTTTCTGTAAATATATGAGGCTGGTCACAGAATTGCTTTGAATCACTATTACACTATTACTCCTCTACGGGTGATTGGCCCTGCAAAGGAGGCCCAGTTACCTCGGGACAACTAGTTGCCGGTTATACTCCTGGCAGTGAGTCTTCTCAAGAGAGGTGAACCTGAGGTGTGTACTGTTAGTGTCCTTATTGTCAGTGTATATGTATAGTGTACTGTTCTGCTGTGTGAAAGTGTGCTGTGTGCTGAACTCAGGAGACCGGGGGATTGTTAATCCCCACTGGTAGAGCACATCTGCTAGCTCTTGCGGGGTCATACTAACAAAATATGATATATTTAAGTTATGTTATATTCAATTACTCACTTAAGTTCCATTTAAGTCCCTTTGTGGTCACTTTTGCTTCAGGAGCAAATGGGAGAATACCACAATACGCTTTTCTATTCCTTAAATAATGAGGAATATAGATTCTATGATAACCTGGACACAATAACCAAGTAATTGCTGACTCAGATATCATAAAACCATCAATAGAAGCACGAGCCAGTGTATTAATGTTTGAGAACGTCTGGTCTAGCCTACCCGAATGTTCCAATACAGCAACAAAACAATCCAGCTGAAAAAAAACAAAAAAAACTGCTAAGTGGTAGCTGGTTTTATTTTGCTAAAACAAAACATATTTTAAAATGCTCATAATATCTGAAGAGGGAAGGAGAATAACATCGAATATCAACTGTTTCAAATTTTGGATAATTCTATTTAAAAACTTTATCTTAGAAAATGGCATTTTAGCAGTGAAATTTCAGGAATTCATTGACTAAAAGTTTAAGTGATAAATTTTAAATATTATCTCCCCCTCCCTTACATTCACATAAACTTAATCTCTAGCTCATTACCTAGTCCTATCATAAATATTTTTACAAGGAAAAACATGCAGATTTCAACAGAAAAATTAATTTTTTCTAAAACTTATAAGAACATAAAATATATATCTATAGAGAGTAAAACAAAAAAGAAATAACTCAAAATGTCCCCCTTTTGCCTTGACACAGGCATTTAATTTCCGTGACCAGTCATCAACAGCAGCACGCAGCATTTCTTGAGGAAAGTGCTGACTGCTCGGACCAGAGATTGTTTGAGGCTTTCCCCGTTAGGGTGTACTCTGTGGCATGACATCCTCTCCAGTTCGGACCAAAGCCGATAATCTAGTGGGTTGAGATTAGTGGGCTTCCTGAGGGCCAATCCGAGGCAGATATGAACTCTGGAATGGTCTTTTGCAGCCACTGCTGAGTTGACTTGGCCTTGTGCGGAATCCTGCTAGAAAACCAATGACTTCCAGCAAACAGAGTATCATTTAGAGACTTGACAACAGGTTCCAAAATATCGTCCTGATAGATTTTTGGCGGCTGTTTTAACTCCTTTTTCACAAAAATGGAGCTTTGTGTCGCCATCAAAGCAAACTCCCCACCAAACTATCACTGAGGAAGAGTGATGACCTCTTTCCACTCTTCCATTAAATAATTATACTTGTTTAATTTAGTATTAATTTGATCGCCCCCTCCCCCCGATCAACTCCTCATGATTTAACTACCTTCACTCTTAACTTAAAAAACTCTTTTGGACTGATTTAATCAAAGATTGGAAAAGATATTTGCAATAGTCTACCATAGGACAACCATTACATAAATACAGTCCAAACATTGCCCCACAAAACAACAATACAAAAATAAGCACCCATTATAAACTAAAACAATCCCTTACTGAACACGGCCCGACTAACCAATATCTAAAGAGATTCCACTTAAAAACGACAGATGCATGCGATTGCGACTGACTAACTCCACAAACTTTCACACACATTTTAAACAACTACCAGTTATATGAACATAAAGGAGACACCTTCCTGAAATCCTCTTTAACACAAGGGGACATATGGCCTCTTCCCGAACTTCTACTATACAAAAAATACAAGAAGCAGTTAAAAGAATTCATTAATAGCATAGAATTACAACGTCACATTCAAGCACAGAACTTTTATTTAAGAAACCTATGCGAATAACAATTAAAAAAGTAATGTTTAAAGTAAGTTTAAGACAGTGTAGCTTAGACTTATGTATTTTATTCCTTATTTTGTTTATTTATTCCTTATTTCCTTGTTTTAGTTATTGATTAAATCAATCTGAATTTTTATTATTTAGTAGATACTCAATTGTAAATTTGAAAATTTTTTCTTCTCCACATAATTTTTGTATTTGTTTTTTCTAATCATATTTTATTTATATTCATTTCTTTATTATATTTTCTCTTTTTCAAGTAAATTTTGGTACTGTTCACTCATCTGATATTGTATAATTTATTATTGCTTTTATTTAATTATCCATTATTTAATTTTCTATTTTGTAATATACTTTAAGTACCATTCCTTTTAAGTATCTTTAGCTTTACTTCAATGAATTAATCGCATTATGTAAGCCAACATATTTTGTAATAAGCTATAATTTTTTATGTAAACAAATTTTTAAATAACAATGTAATGCATGTAATATGCTTTTGGATGGTGTATTCACATTTCTAATTACTACATACCCTCTAAGGCCTCTGAAAAGAAGATGACCTCGTGATTTACTTCTTTTGTAAATATATTATTAGAGTGCTACCAATGGGTAGTTTCTCAACAAGCGTTTTCATGTGATTGTATTATTACGGTGTGCACATTTACTAGTTGTAATTTTTTTTGTAATACAGTATAACAAAAAGAAAAAAAAATTACTACAGGAGAAAAAAAAAAGAAAAGAAATTTATAAATATATATTCAAAATAATATACGAGAAGGTAATGAGAGCAACATCACAGGAAAATGGAGGGGTCCACGTCGGAACGAATCATAAATCCTTGGATACACAGATTATATAGCTGTCCTAGGAAGTAATCAAGAAGACCGTGAGAAACTCACTAAAACACTGATAAGAGAGGCAGAGCAGATTGGCCTATAAGTAAATGAAGACAAAACAAAATATAACAGGATCTGTGTAGAAGGAAGATCATTCCCAGGAGTAGAAAAATTCAAATAACTCGGCTCCAAAATAACCTCAATGAATGACCAACGGGCAGAAACAGACTAGCATATAACTAGCACAAACAGAGCTTTCTTCTCCCTCTCAAAGGTATTGAAACCCCAAAAAATCTCAAACTAAGGGTGTACAATGCTATGATAATGCCAGTTCTAATATATGGCTGTGAGACCTGGACACTAACCAGCACCCTAGACAAAAGTGTTGAGAGATTTGAGAGAAAAATCCTCCGCACGATAACCGGAGCGATCTAGAATCAGAGTACTAACACATGGAGAAGAAAGATCAAAAAAGAACTGCTTACAGAAACTGGTCAATCAATATCTCCTGATATGAAGGCATGGATGTTAAGAGGGGCGGGGCATGTAGCTCGAAGCAATCCATCTGGAAGCCTCTACGTAATAATGAATGCCTTAATAGAAGGCAAAAGACCACATGGAAGACCAAAAAGCAGATGGATAGATAGAATCAACAAATGGAAAGATTAGCCCAAGACAGACAGAGATGGAACAGGCTTGCTAAAGTGACAAAAGATCTATATAGTCTGTAATGCCAACAGAAAAAAAATATATATATATTTCAAAATTTGCCTTTCATGATTCTTTAACAAATCATTCTTAAACAATTATTTACAAATTAAATCAGTTGTTAGAAGCTCATAAGCAATAATAAAAAAAAACTATGAATGTAAATTTTAAAACAAAAAATACAAACTTTATGTGGACATGTTTTCATTAAAACATCTAAAGCTTTATCAAAATCAGTAAAATCTTGATCAGGAGTATTTATAACAGTTATTTCATCTTGTTGTTTACAAAATTCGAGTGTTTCATGTTTTATTGAATCAAAATCTCCAGTCACATAATTGGGTAATGAAGGAGACAATGAATGTTGTTTAACAAAATCAAACCATTTATCAGTCCCTCCATCAATCGTAATGCGCCAACAAGCTAAAAAATATCAAATTAAAAAAAGAGTTAAAATGGATAAGATTCATCTATCACAAGGATTATATATTTATCAGAATGAATGGAACAAAGAACAGAGTTTATGTTTTTTATTTAAAGGTGATGTTTCCCAGCCTTATGGCCTGACTTACTCATAATATAGTAACCAAAGGATATGCTTATGGTATACTTTACTTGTAAAATAAATATTCTATAAATTAGGTTATCGTGTATTCTAAATAAAAATAACTTCATTTAATCCTGGGCTTGATGATCTTTGAGAATCCTATAAAACAATTAAAATCATTAAGTGTGGTTCACGGGCGGATCTACGGGGAGACTTTCGGGATGAAGCCCCCCCAAAAAGGAAAAATATAACCATGTTTTATGAGAATTTTTTTTTAAAAAATACCTCTTAAAGTATTATTGTTCGTGTAATTACATTTAAAATCACTTAAGGAATCACTTAAACACTATTTCATATAGGTAGTTAGTTTCTTTCTGTTTTTCCAAAGTAATTATCGTTATTTTTATGAAAAAAAAGGTTTCGGGCTGAAGCCCCCCCAAAATTAAATTCTGGATCCGCTAGTGGTGTGGTTTGAAACTTTGACTTTATTTTTTAAATTTTTATTAATAACCAAGAACTTAATATATTGTTTCAGAACAAGGAAAAAATATCTGAAGATCTTGCAGATAGCAATGTAGTAAATAAAATAAAAGTTTTAGTGGTGAAGCAATTTCGCCATAAATATTCAAATTCGCCACGTGATACAATAAAATCTTTCCATCCCAATAAGGTTCAAAAATATACAATCAATGTAATGTTCCATTAACTAAAGGAATATAATAATAAATAATATTTTACCTTCATTCCACAATTTAATAACTTTTTCTGGTGAAACTGTAATTGGCCTATTCAAAATCAAAATTCCATAACTCTTAAACTTGAGTTCATAGTCATCTTGTTCACTAAAAATTTTCCATTCCTTTTCCTTTCTTCCATTCATATCAATATGTAAATTATGGCAGAAATTTCTTAGCAGTGGTTTCAAATAGACAATTGGGTGCAAAACATTAAATTTTTGCCTTAAAAACAAATTATAAATATTTAAGGAAAAACTATATGTGGATGAATGTCCCATAAATTTATAAACCTGGCCTCAATTGATTTAAATTGCCTCAAAGAGACAAATGTCAAAAAGATCTTTCTTATTACAATATAATAATAACTTGAGGAATGAAAGATGTTTACTGATAAGAGGCAATAACAACCCGCCACTGATAACAAAGGGAGCAGTGTTGTCACCCCTCAATAGCAAATCCTTTCATCTCAATTCTAGTCTTCCTCCATCCTGCTCCTTGAGAAATCGTACAATTATTGTGCTCACTATTTTGGTTAATGTTAGTAAAATAGTTCAAAACTTTTCTGCAGTAGGAAACAAGTCTTGACGTACTTTTGCTTTCTAGCGAACGTTTTGTACAAGATAAGTTCTTGAATTAGCCTGTAACACGTGGTCAACTTTGAAATTTCTTATAAATACAAAAATTTTCTTACCAATGTCATCGCTGGTTTCGGGTTTTTGGAACACGAGTTCTGTAGCTGCAAATGTTTTGTATGCTGAGATCAAAGGCCAACTTGTACGGATGGACGAGACCTCAATCCCAAAGAAGTTGCTAAGCATGTGGCCGGTTGGAAAAAGAAAAGTGGACAAACCGAAACTGAGATGGCATATGGAGTAAGTGCTGATGCCAGAATCCATCGAATCAGGAACTGGTGGAGGCTGCTCAGGACAGGGAACATGGAGCAAAACTCATGAGGCAGCCAATGTAATGGATTTTCGAGCTCAGGAACTGGTGGAGGCTGCTCAGGACAGGGAACATGGAGGAAAACTCATGAGGCAGCCAATGTAATGGATTTTCGAGCTCAGGAGGATGATATTGATCACTTTAGAATATTCGTTTTAGAGGATGATTTTTCCTATATTTCTCTTTTCTTTAAATAACTGCTTTTTGGTACTTTTCTCCAACCATCCAGGGGATAGAGGGGCGTGTCCCAGGCTGGATCCGCTTGTAGAAGGTCAGGATAATAATTTTTTTGTATCAGAAAATTCCTCTTAAAGGATAATTTTTTGCTATATTAACGTTTTCTTTAAATAGGTATAATGGACAAAAAAAAATTCCAAAAGCAGCAGCTATTTAAAGAAAAGAGAAATATGGCGAAAATTCATCCTCATAGACGATATTTGTATTTCTTTTCTACTTTTTTGTATTTCTTGAGTTCTGCTATCACTCCTTTGGATATTTACCTCTACTTACGCGATATCCTATTTCTGGGTTTAGAACATGTAAAAAAAAAAAAAAAAAAATGCTAACACAGATCACCAAGAGAAAACTATTTACAGCCAAAAAATCCCGATTTATCTGATTTTTTTTTTTCATGTATCACTACTAAACATGCATCAAAGCGAAAAACATATTCTTTAAGAAATTAAAGAACGTAAAATTGTTCGTTGAACGAGTACCTAATCTTAATAATTTGATTAAGTAATATGGTCGATAACTATTGTCAATGAACGCTAATTTTTACCATCATTGTCAATATCTGAGACAGATTACTATATATGGCCCTGAAGTTTGGAAATGATTTCTCTTCAAGAAAAAGAAAACTCAGAATAATTTCCGATTCGGATCATAATCTGATTCTGATCAAATCGGGGACCAAATCATTAGTATCTTCCTTCATGAAAACGTTTCCATCAGCAGCTATATTAAAAAAAGAACAACGCTCTCTAATGAGAAATATAAAATTATTATCGTGATCAGTTTTATGAATCCCATGGATTCTTCCAGGAGGCTATAGTTACTGGATGTTGCAATGCGTCCAGATCTATTGGAACTAAATAAAAATTAGGATGGGAGAAAAACTGTATATTCTTGTTCTCGAATAAAAGCTTGTTCGAAAGAATAAATAAAGTTTTTTTTAAAATTATATATTACATATTTAGGTAAGTGAAAGTAATAATTGGTCTAATTAACAACGATACTAACGTACAGCCGACGTATCCTTTTTGATTTCTCTTGTTTTTCTGTTTTCCACAGGAGATAGAAAACGCAAAAACAAGCAGACAAACACTAAAGTAGAGAAACAATAATTCTAATATTTGTTTTCCTTTAGTTTGTGAAATGTCTAAACGCACCTTAAACGTGCACAAACTATGGTTTCTTAAGAAAAAAAAAAAACACAAGGATAGGAAAACTACCATCTCATACATTTGTTTTTCCACTGTCTACTGTTTGCGAAAATCTAAATGGACCTTTCATTTTGTTATTTAATAAGAAGAAGTACTAAATTATTTTGCTTTATTACTTACTACCAAACTGCCAAAGGTTCATTTGAATTCTGTTTATCTTTGTTTCATCTCATCATTGTTTTAAAAATATGTTAACATTCGACGCATTATCAGTAAATGAATTTCATGCTGTGAAAGTGATAGATGACCTCCTTGTTTCAGTAAACATAACCTGGTTAGTTGTTTACTACTTGACCGGGATAGGTATGTTCCTACAGCATTTAGGATTAGTGTTAAACGAATTGTTCGTGTAAATCTGTTTTTAAGGGTAAATATTAAGCTAATCTTACGAGATGTCTGACGACGAAGATTTATTGTACATTAAAAGACAAAAAACTATACACTATGGTGGTCTTGATGAGCTGGAGAAAGAAAAACTTGCTGCAGCAAGTGCTGTACCCCAAATCGCTGAAACTCCTGAAGAAAATGTTGAAGAAGAACCAGAAAAAGTTGTTCCTAAGCCAGTTGGAAATATGGAAATTGGAAATATGCATATATCAGACGGTAATCATTATATTTATTGTGTATTGATTAAAAAAAAGTCTAAGAATTTTTCCAATGTTAACTTGGAATTTATTAATTATTCCTCTGTTTTCTTTCTCTCATTCAGAATATATGGACATTGAAGATGAAGTATCGAAAGATAAACAAGCACTTCTAGATGAATTTGAACGTAGAAAGAAAGCAAGGCATGTAAACGTATCGACTGATGATAATGAAGTCAGACAAAACTTGAGACAGTTGGGTGAACCTATATGCTTGTTTGGAGAAGGTCCAGCTGAACGGCGGAGTAGGCTTCGAGATCTACTTGCTAGGTATTTCTTTTTAATTGACTATTACTAATACAAACTAGATTATTTTTACTAGTTTCGATACAATAAGGACATAATAACTGAAAAAATAAGAGCTATTAATTATCGAAGGAAGAGGACTGTTCTACATATTGGTGATATGTAGTCTGGAAGCAGTTATTTTTAAGGTTTTTATTGGTGCCGACGTTTCAACCCAAGCATGTGGGTCATCATCACTGTGAGTACTTGAACACCTTTAGTGCTCAAAACATGTCCTGATGATGATCCACATACTGGGGTTGAAACGTCGCCACCAATAAAAGTCTTAAAAATGACTGCGTCTTAACTATTTATCACCTATGCTATTAATTATCATGCTCCTAATTTTTTATGTTTGTCAAATTATGCATAATAAATTTCAAAAGTCGGCCCATGAATACTAATAACTTTTTCATTATTCATTACCAGAGTGTTATTCAAATCTCATGAATGAAATTAATGCCTATGATCGTGGTTTATTAAATTCCTCACTCTAATTTGAATAAAATCATGTTGCAGATGCGGTATTTTTATATTATTTTTCACCCCATCCAGCCTAAACCTTTTATTAGTACCTGACATAAAAATTGGATTTTTAATTTCACTTACCTTTATATGTAATCTAAAGTGAGGATAAGTATTGCGACTGTGAAAATTTTTGAATCTGAGTTTTCAACAGAAATACACGTTGTGAGGTCCCCTAAGTCCAAATAACCAAGTTCCTTAAAATGGTCTATGTGTGTATATGTTTGTGAACAACCTAGCTCAAAAATGAAAAGTCATGTAAAACTGAAATTGGGTATTTGAGGTTTTTACAAGCCTGGGATGTTACAGCAACATTTTTGTCATAATCGGCAAACCGGAATTAGTACTTTATGTCATCGATTCAACACATTTTTAAGATTTTGATTAAACTTAGTATATCAGTGTATTATGAAGCATTTTTTAATATAATGTAGGTTTTATTCTCATTGCTGTCCACTAACAGGGCTTAAGTGGCTAATTTTCATTATTAGCTTCCTCTAAAGTACTTTTAATTTTTTTTATTTGAGATAATTAATCATTTCTTATTCTTATTAATCTTTGATTTTTTTATCTCCCATTAAACTAAGTTCTGTTTTTCTGTAATCATTTGAATTTCCTTACATCTCCTTTTATGCTGGATAGTTTTGACACATTAAGTACAGAAATTATTATAACAACTTTTATCAATGTAATAATTAGTATTAGGAAGTAAAAGAAGTTGTAATGAGCTAAATATTGTATAAATGACTAAATGGTAGAGAATGGAATGGAGTTTCATAAATAGTGCCTCAATAGAGAAAAATAGGCAGGTTCATCCAGGTAAAACATCACAATCATGAAATTGTTGTCTGGAACTTGAAAATCATTATTTTTTAGTTAAACACAGGGGCTATTTCAATGATGTATTCAAATCAGATGAGTATGAGGTATGAAAACTATTCGCCCATTTTTTTATTTTGTAAAATAATTTTATCTTAATTAATACTGTATTGAAAACTACGAATGTTTCTCCTAAAAACTTATTATTTTGTAGTTATGACGCTGCATCAAATGAGCAGTATATTTCATTTTTGGTATTTTGTTAAAGGCTTGGAGAAGATGCCATTCAAAAGAAACAAGAAGAAGAAGAAGAAAAATTGAAACAGGAAAGGGATCAAGAGACATGGTATCATGAAGGATCTGAGACACTCAGAGCAGCGAGACTATGGATAGCTAGTGCGTAAAATATCTTTTGGTTTACAAAAACTAATTTTCCTATTTGTTGTTAAATTTTTATTTCAAGGATTGTGTTAAAGTACGTCATGATTTTAACTAATCTGAAATAATGATACCAGTTGTTTCTGGCAAAATAGGATTTTGTCTAGAATCTTAATGCCAATAAAAAAATCTGGTGAGCGCAACACACAATTTTTACTTACCTCTCTACTTTGAATAAACATCATTTCCTGGCAATGCTGGGCTATTATAAAATTTTTGAAGTACATTTTGAACGGTGCTAAAGCTTAAAGATTACAGATAACAAAACATTAAGACCAGTAAAATTACAAAAGCACTATTTATTATATCGACGGTAGGAAATAAAAATCTAGTTATTCCGTCTAATTTTGTGAACTAAACAAGTTCAGTCCTCCGAGCCTTTCAGTTGACAGATTGGCCAGCTCCAATTTCAACATTTTTGAGTAATGTCATTTTAGTGACACTTCTAGTTGGAAAAGTTATATCTATATAGACGGTGAGTAAGTTTATTCCGGAGTAGATGATTGCAGTGTTGAATTATAGGACTGAATTAAGGTATAAAATAAAGAAACATCGCTAAAATTAATAATAAAGAATGTGGAAATTGAGGTTAGTCATTAAAGACTCATATATGCCTAGAGAGATTTGAAAGTGCATCTGAATACTTAACCTATAAATGATTATGGATTGTAGGACTATTAGTTATTAAACTGTTATTTTTCATTGTAAAGTTAACTAAAATGAAATTACGAGATTTTCATTGCCTGCCATGGATAGGTCAAAAGTTGTCACACTAATTGTAAGTGGGTAATGTTGGGATTTCACAAAGGGGAAATTCATCAAATTATTTACTAATTTAATTTTCTAAAAGGTTAATTGATGATTTTTTGGTCCGATAGCCGATAGATACCAAATTATTTAAATATAATATCATATCTAGAGTTATTAAACTACAGTAAATGTATTTAGGGTTATAAACATGTCCATGAAATATTTTAATATTTCACTTCTTCTTTCACACAAGTATAATGAAATAGTATTTTAAACAATGGCATTAGCTTGATTCAGTGGATTTTAAATACTTTTTTTCAAACCTTGAAAAAAGTTTACATTTAGTAAAAAAATTTCATTTAATTTCCTTGGAAACATGTGATTTATGTTACATAATGTCAGTTATCTGAAATTATTATTTATATATTTTTTTTGTCACTCTCCGTTACCTTCTACAACCGAGCTTCTTGAAATATTGAGATCACTTATCAATAAAATCCAGCGGGTCTCCTAGCAGCTTGCCATTATCGTTCTTCATAAAGCCTATCCTTGGCTTGAAGTCTCCCTTTTGTTCTTTGAGGATACCAATCTCCACCCGTAATGATTGACAATATCCCAGTGTCTTAAAAAAACTATGTACGGTACCTTGGACTCTACTTATACAAAAGACGTATCTGGAACATACATACTAAATTAAAAAGACAAGAACTGACTAGACAATGTAACCAACTCTCACATCTTCTAGACCACAGATCCTCACTTAACTTACGAAACAAGCTACTAATCTACAACACCATACTGAGACCAATTTGGACATACGGAGCAGAACTTTGGGGTTCGACAAAGTAGTCAAATATTTTACATTAACAAAATACAAAGAACACGATAAAAAATTCTACAAAAATTGTCAACGCACCTTGGTACATTTCAAATAACACTATGCATAGCGATTTGAACATCCCAACAGTAAAATCCTACATCTATGGCAAATGCACTTCATTTCACTCTTCAATTCTAAATCACTTCAATCCATAAGTCCTTTCTGTTTCCTGCTCCCTGTTACCTGATCGATCAGATTAAAAAGAAAATGGCTGAGGGACCTATTACAATAAATAAAAATGTAGGTTAACCAAGCAAACTCGCAACTAATTCCTAATACATCAAATTTGATAGATGCCCGCACTGCAGTGCAGATGCAAATGCACAATATGTTAAAATAAATAAAAAATACTATTTAATTTCCTGCAGCATTATATTATAAAACCAACAAGACCTTTTTGAAATAATGTAAAAACATTTAGTATTTTCCAAACTAAATTTATTTAATTCCCTGTGAAAATCTTTTTCAAACCATATAGAAGTAATTTATTATATGCTCTGTAACTATTTGCATTTCATCAGTAATTATTGTATTTAAGTCAAGCAATAATTATTCAGTTGCATAGATGCACCTGAGGCACCTGAATGTAATATTTTACGTATTGAAAGTATCAAAATATTTTGTTTTTCTATTTGAAACAAGTAAATATGACAAAATATTATATATTTGTACTTGAGGCATAAGTAGAACGGATAAATTTGTTTTTTTGGGAGGAAGAGGAGAAAGGGCAATCCAACTAAAGTAGGAAGGATGGTAGGAGTACATTTAATCGATGATTGGGAAATTATTACTAATAATTGCAATGGAAATAAATTTTCTCTCTTTTTATAAAACTTTCAAAGAAACTTGTATTTTCTATATCTGTAGTTTATCTGAGGGATAATATGATTTTTTTCTTCCTTTTTTTACAATGTATTTATATATTTGTTTTCTTGTTTTTAAGAATATTCGTTACCAAGAGCAAAGGAGAGGTTAAAGCAAGCAAGAGAAGAACTGAAAATACCTGAAGCTACAGCCACTGCCAAAAGACAAGAGCTTCAAAAGCACTTGACATCCTTGTCTATATTCTGCAGTCAAATTGGTGATACAAGACCTATTTCATATTGCAGCTTTAGCCCTGATTCTAAGAAACTTGCAACATCTTCTTGGTAATTGACAATTAAAGATAAACCATTATACCATTCATTGTTTATGTATGCCCACTGTGGAAAAATGAATCAATAAACTATATGCTTAACCCATTCAATAGAGCGGCCGTATTGGCCAACTTTTAAACCATACTGCACAATAAATGAAACTGTATTTATTTCTATGATATTTGCTTTGTATTTCGGTTACTATCATATATCATTCAGAAATAATATTTAAAGATATTTTTGTTTATTGTAGGAGTGGGCTTTGTAAGTTATGGAGTGTGCCTGACTGTAATGAAATTAGGACACTGCGAGGACATTCTTGCAATGTTTGTGCCATCGAATGGCACCCAAAAGCAGGCGTTGAAGGTTCAGTTTGTGCCCTAGCCTCTTGTGCGGTTGATGGTACTGTTAAACTCTGGAGCATGGAAAGGTGAATTATTTTACATTTGATTTGTTTAGTTTATGGTGTCAAGTATAATTCCCCATTTATGATATTTTTTCACTTTATAAGTTACAAATATTTTACAGTGATGAACCTGTTGCTGATGTTGAAGGCCATTCACCGCACAGAGTTTCAAGATTAGGGTTTCATCCTTCAGGTCGTTTGCTTGCGACGTGCTGTTACGACAGCTCTTGGAGGCTTTGGGATTTAGAGTCTGCTCAGGAAATACTGCACCAGGAGGGCCATTCCTGCCCTGTCTACTGTATATCTTTTCAAGTTGATGGCTCTATTGCTGCAACTGGGTAATGATAATTATATTTTTACCGTAATATTTTTTTAAACATTTAAAATATTTTTTATTTATTCATCGTGATACTGTCCATCTGAAAACCACATGTATATCATTTCTTTTTTTTATCATATATACTATAACAGATCTAAGTATTTAATTTTTCTTACTTTAATGTTTTTATTCAAATAAATTAATGTGGATAATAAGAATCCTTTATAAATAAGAACTATATTTTATTACGTACTATTGTTTTTGTTTGATTCTTAAAAATTAGGAGTTCGATGAATTCAGAGATTATTTTATGTTTAATTAACTCATTCTTTACTAATGATTTCGGGGAAGTGAGTACACAAGCAATTTTTTTTAAATTTTTGCTGTCTGAGATGCCCACTTGATGTAGTTTAACTAATCAGTTTTGGCTTGAAATATTTATTAACTAGCTGCTAATCTTGAAGAAGGATAGTAAAAAAAAATCAGTCTTTAAACATTAAGTAAAGTGAATTAAACTATATCTCCCTGTCATCTTTCCTATCCTATAGCATATCCACAATTTTTCCTTACAAAATTCCAGTTTCCTGTCAGCATGGAAAAAATTATTGTCTGCCCTTTGAACAAAGTTCCACTTCCCTTTCAGATTCCAGACCCATCTCCGTTCTCTCCAACCTTTCAAAACCTATTGAAAGAAATGTCCTTGCACAGTGTAACACCTTCCTAGAACAAAAAGCTTTTCCCAATTCAGTCAGGTTTCCGATCTCAGATCTCCACCCAGTCTGCATTGTTGAAAATTACTCAAGACCTTCATTTCTCCATAGACAAACAGAAATTCCCTATTCTATCCTCTTTGATTTTTCAAAAACATTCAATTCAGTCAATCACAAAATCCTCCTTTCCATACTACAAAACCTTTCCATATCAAACAGTGCTCTAAATTGGTTCCATTCTTTCTTTTATCAAAGATCCCAAACAGTCATCATACCTAACAAAACTCCTTCCTGTCCTCTCTGACTAACTCGCGGTTTTCCTCAGGAATCTTTGTTCTCTCCAACTCTTTTCTCCATCTGCATCAACGACCTGCCTGATTCTATCCCTCATTCACAATATCACTTATATGATGACACTCTCCAAATCTGCCATTCCTTCCATCCTACCAAGATTCTTGAGTTGATGCAAAGGCTTCAAGAAGACATTGATAGTATTCATATTTGGGCAGTGAGCAACAATTTGAAGTTGAATGTTGAGAAGACCAAAGCCATTCTCATTGGTTCCAAGCATCTGATTAATTCCATTCCTTATTATCCCCTACTGTATATCAATGGGCTACCTATCCGTTTCCACACTTCCGTTAGAAACCTTGGGATAATATTTGATTTATTGAGGTAATATATTTTTTTTGTTGCTTTTGTAACAAAATAGATGATCTTGTATTTATTTACGTAATAAAGAATATTGTGATATTCACATAATCTTAAGAAATAATATTTTTATTAATTATTAAACAGTTTTTGAACAGTCACATTGTGGGAGTATTTTTCCTTTGAAGTTGTTGACGTTATTTGAAAAAATTCAATGTTTTGTTTGCTCTGTATTAACGAAGCCAATTTTCTTCATTAGTCACATCAAAGCTAATTAGAGAAGAAATATAAGAAAATGAGTGAAGTTTAAGAAGTAAATAAAAAGAAGGCTTATGCATACTTAAAATTTATTGATGTCTACGTTTTACCTTCCAACAATAACTAGTTCAAAAATGCATGTATGTGACCTCTTTCCATGTATTCAATGCCTATCAAATTTCACAGCCATTATTATTTTCTTATTATTTCAACTGCTATTTATATTAATTTTAATTGTAAAATAGAAATTAATGAAATTAGTTCTAGTCAATTTTTGCAATATTCCTCAAATTTCTCCAACTTTGTGTCAAATCAAACTATCTGTTTTGAAGCTGTAGTCATGTTAAAAAACATATCTTTGCAGATCTGAAAGCTAATGTATTTTATGAATGTAATGGATGGAATTTGATAACATTGTTACCTATTAGATCATTTGTTTATCAATTCCTTACTTCCCTTCAAATTTGGGACAAATCGAATGGGTGTCTCAAGAAAAATACGTTTGCGCTTATGTAAGAGAACATAGTGGATGGAATTCAGTAAGATTGATATAGTATCATTTTTTCACCAACATTCTTTTAACTTTGGGCCAAATCGAACAGGCCATTTCTGAAATGTAGGTGAATATATAATAGTGAATATATTCTAAGAAAATACATTTAGATCGTTGTTAGCAAAAATGTGAGGTGGAATTGAATTATATTTATACGGTGGTAAGTGAGTTACCCATCACATGGAGTTGAATACAGTCAAATGTGGAACCAAATTTGTTCATTGATGTCTAAAAGGTAATACGTGAGTAGAAATTTACAATTCTGAGCACAAAAAATGTTTTAAGCTCAGTTATGAATGCAAAGCTTCCCTTGTGAGGAAGCGGTTGGAACTATTTTTATTTTGAACAATTTACTTATATTTCTTGTTGATTATATTGAATAATTAACCTTATTTAACAATTTAAAAACTATTCAACCGCTTAACCAAAACATTAAATAATTCATTAAAGCATTTAAAAAATAAATAGAAGTGCATAACAGATCAGCGTCATTCAGGCCACATTTTCCTTTATTTTTGTTTTGAAATTAGGTGCATAAATACATTCCCGGGGGTTTAAATATAATTTTTAAATCATTTAAGCAGCTCAATATCTATTTTATGTTTTGTTTTTGAACATTTTATTATTTGGTTGGAGACCAAATTCGCTGTTCAGCCTGGCTATAGACCATCTATACCTATGTCAGCAGGAATTTTCAAAGCACTATGGATACCAAATAACCAACTACCAAGAATGTGTGGTTCTCACTGGCTTCGCGGATAACTAGGCTGTTGCCAAGACAAGGGTGCTGCAGAGAGAATTATCAATTGTGTACAGAGGATCCTTGCCGAGATTGGTCTGGCTGTAAATCCACATAAAAACATGGACTTAATTTAATAATCGATAAAGGAGAGCTGCAACAAACAAAGCTCTCTCTAGAGAACAGAGAAACCATCGATTTAGCAGAGGCTGGTGAGACTTTAAAGTATTTAGGATATACATTTTCGGGAGAGCTGGTGCTGAATGAGGAAATGGTGACAAAATTGAACAATATGGATAAATTGGTAAGCTCTTACCTTCTTAAACCAGAGCAAAAGATCAACGTTATCAATCAGTACATGTTCCCGGGACTTACCCTCTCCAGACAGCTCTCCTTACAAAGATACCTCCTGCGTTATTGGAAGGAATTGACACAAATAAACAAAGGAATATCAAGGCCATTATTGGGCTCCCTAGTAATACATCAACGGCAATGTTTTATGCACCAAGGATTGGGACTGATCCGCTGTCAATGAGTCTCCTTTGTAGCATTTGTCCATTGCCCAGCGACTGTCCAATGTACCGTAGACCCTGTTGCAGTCCACTTTTGATTACAAAACAGAAATCAACAAATTTATAGAAAGACTGAAAGTGGATCAGAGCCACTGAAATATGAGAGCTCTACGATAGTCGCTATGAGAAAATTCTTTTGAAGAATGAGCCAGCTGCAGGTGGCAAGATGTTGGAGTTCAACATTTTAAAGAAACCGTGAAAGCTAATAAATGCATATGCCAAAAGCAAGTGCTTTCGGGATCAGAATGGTCCAACACCTTAAAACTTAACATGAATTAAGCACCTTTGCGTGAAATCCCAGGAGCCAGTGGACAGTCGAGGGAAGTTAGGTCCCTCTGTCGTAAGTGCAGCAGAGAGTTTGAAACAACAGCCCAGCTGGGAAAATACTCCAAAAATACCCTCCTCATAACATCGCCACCATACAGTCAAGTTTGAATTATGAGGCTCCTTAGAGAAAAGGAATTGGCCTGCTTCTACGAATTCTATTGCATCGACAGTGAAGGCTCAACCTGGTATGCGGACATTGTTGCATTTTCCAAGACAGGAAAGACAGCTCTGATCTTGGACCCAACTGTCCTCCTTGAGAGCAATGACCTCAATCAGGCGGGTGAGGTGGAAAGGGAAAAGAAAACCACATATGATAAATGTATCCCTTTCCTAAAACAGAAGTTCCGTGAGACCTTTTGAGAGAGAGAGAGTTCACCGTGAGAGGCCTCAGGGTTTGGGTCTCGCGGAACGATCCCTAAAAGAACAAGGAGCTTCCTTAAGGAACTAGGTGTTGATTTGGGGAGCTTGCGATATTGACCGAGAATATTATTCTGGACTCCCTGGGGATCATCCACTACCACTTGTATAGTAATTGACTGTGTATTTAGGATTTCTTTTGTCATTTATGTATTTATTTATTAAATTTTAATTTTTTGGCTTTATCTTATCTTTTTATCTATATTTATGGAATTATGTTGATATATGTGTGTGGGATTTACTCTTGTATTTGTAGCATTCCAATACTTTATTTTTTCAGAAATTGTATGTGTTATAATGGTAATTATTTAATGTGGTATATTAGTGATAGTGTATGTGAATAGTGTTATGAAAAATAATGTAATGTAAGAGCTATGTCCATATGGATTGATCAGTATGCTGTGCGTAAAGCAATCCTATGTAGTAGGGCAGCATTACTATCAATAAAGTATTTCTCTCTCTATGAAAATGTCGGGACCTCGGGGAGGGGAGTGGAAGAACAGTTGAGAGTTTAGAAGGAATTTTGCTCACATAAATTCAATTTACAAATTTCTGGGGGGTGGGGTGGCCGAATGGGCTAATGCGTTGCCGTGCAACATGATAAACAGATGTTTACAAGATATAATAATTACAAGTTCCCGTCCCAGTGCCGTAGGGGCTTTAAACTCTGGCATTAATCCACTACCCTTCCCGCAGGGAAAAATAAAATATCTCAACTTAAATTCTAAACCTATTTGATATAAAGGGTCTTCCTTAAAAAAAAATGAAATAAATCTATATATTAGACGTTTCCAGAAATCCCATATATATATGTGCAGACCAGTACTCGAATATACTTTTCAAAAAATAAAATAAAAAGTGTAACATGAGTATTGGTTGCTATACGAGCTTACATTGCACTATAGGCAGTTGTACTCATTATTGTTTATTTGAGGCGGCTGGTTTCAAAACCGATTACATCCATTTTCAAAAATGCTTCAGAACTGATCAAAAAAGATTGTATAGAACCACTTTTGATAGGAAATCAAATTTTTTGGTATTTATTTTTTGAAGATATAAACGGTTTTGATACAAATAAATCTAATTTTATAAAATAAACATTAAAAACTTGTGAAAAATAAAGACATTTTTTTTTTTAATAAATGGATGCAACCTGTTTTGAAACCAAACGCCTCACGTAAAACAGAGGTGTTTATGGGGGAAAAAATATAAAAATCTGAAAAAAATGGGAAAAATCTGGAAAAAATGGGAAATGTACAGGAATTTTTCGGAGGAGAATCACTGGACACCCTGATATATCATCCATATTGTTTATGTATACAAATAGGTGAACTCTCACATCTGGATTTATCTATAGTTTTGTATGTCTAGTGCCTTTTCTTTATTTTAATTTTAGATTTAGATAACTTTGTAATTTAATATATATCTAATGCCAGACAATTGTCATTACATTGTACATTGTAGTTATTCTAAGAGGACTTACTGTTCCAGAAAAAAATTTACTTTCTTCTTCTTGTATGTACGATATTTGTTAGTCATTTTTATTCTCAAACATATTTATTATTAAATAAATATTTTTCGTTGAATTTCATAAATTGTTGAACTCCCGTTTTTTTAACTTTTATCAAAAAAATATTCGCCCATTACAAAGTAATTATCTATTTTGATAAGTCCTAAGGGAGATGCTTATTTAATTATCTATTTTGATAAGTCCTAAGGGAGATGCTTATTTAATTATCTATTTTGATAAGTCCTAAGGGAGATGCTTATTTAATTATCTATTTTGATAAGTCCTAAGGGAGATGCTTATTTAATTATCTATTTTGATAAGTCCTAAGGGAGATGCTTATTTAATTATCTATTTTCATAAGTCCTAAGGGAGATGCTTATTTATATAAGTTATGTGAATAAAGTTCAGTAACAGGTTACTCTCCCAAAAATTTTTTTTTTATTTTTATGACATTTTGGGATCACTTTATTATCCCGTCTTCAGACTGTATCTCATCTTTCTATCATCTAATTTTTTAGAGCCTAATTAGGCACTGATAGCCTAGTCTGTCTAGGCTCTCCCTAGAGGAGTCCACAATATAATTAAGGGATGATTACTATGAAAATTCTTTTTAAAAAAATTAGATGATAGAAAGATGGGATAATAAAGTGATCCCAAAACATCATAAAAATATAGAGAAATGTTTTGGGAGAGTAAACTGTTAGTTAACTTTATTCATATACCTTATGTAATTATTATAGTTCCACTTTTCTGACTCTGTCACCGCTGCTTAAATCTAGAATAATAGACAAACGAGCTCCATTAAACATATTAATAGTAGACATTGCCCTAGATTTGCACTGCATGGTTTCCCAATAGAACAGACAATTTCTCAGTGTAAATTCTTTTTTTGATTTATGCATTTATTTTCCTCCGATATTCTTTTAACAATGTTCCTCTCATTTCTTCCTTCTTTCCACAGACCATTTTGAACCATATTTCTTTTCATAATTGGATTAGAATGCTTTCATATTCAATACTCAAGTTATGGAAATCTCTCCGTATTTTCTTGATTTTATTTTGTCATTGGGAATCCTAGCTCCTTTGATATAGGAATAGCTTTATTGTTATTTATTCTAGAAAATCATTTATGTTTAACTGAAATTAATTGAAAAGTGGCGAGATATGAAAACAAAAAGTGATGAGAAATAGATTTGGCTATTAAAATTACAAAAATAAAATAGAAGAGTAGTCATTTTTTTGGTATTTACTGTATCCAACCTAATAATTAGTTATCTACATGACAGGATCACCATTCAACTAATGCAATTGTCATTCTTTTTGTTCTATCCATATCTAACTAATACACAGTAACTTCTAAAGAATAATTAACTAAATCAAGTTCTCATACAATTATTATTATATAATTTTTGGAAGTTTATAATCAAATTTATGTAATTGAAGGAACAAGAAAACTGGTATTTTCATTAATTTAGTATATTGAGCTACGATTCATTTTCTATATTATACTGTCTTTGTATATTAAGTTGTGCCAATCTAAATTTAAACACCAGATTTTCACTTGCACATATTTTATTTTAAGTCATGCAATTATAATTGTATAATTCGAATAATTATTTAATTGTTTTATTTTCTGAGTAATAGATACCATAATTTAATGATGGTTTTACGTTTTACAGAGGTCTTGATTCTTTTGGACGTGTTTGGGATTTAAGAACTGGGAGATGTATCATGTTTATGGAAGGACATCTTAAAAGTGTTTATGGCATTGACTTTTCTCCAGATGGGTTAGTGGAAATTGTGTTTTATATAACAATAAATTTAAAAAAAATCAATCTAGCTATAGTAATTCTTTTATTTTTCAAAGTTTAATTATATTACAATCAATCTTTTTAATATGTACTTTATTATTATTGTTTGCAGTTATCATATAGCGACAGCAAGTGAAGACAACTCTTGCATTGTTTGGGACCTAAGAATGCGAAATCGTGTTTATACAATCCCTGCCCATAGCAATCTTTTATCTCATGTGAAATATCAGCCTGGAGCAGGAAATTTCATTATTACAGCATCATATGATAATACGGTTAAGGTAATTTTATGATTATGATTATTTGTTTGTATGTTGTGAGTTGTATTTATAGATTTAAATAGGCTGTTATAAGCACCCATGTACTTATTTTTTATTTAGTTTAATTAATTAAAAAAACGCTGCAAATTATTTCTCAATGGTTTATTATTTCCAGACAATTATACATCTAAAGTAAAATTACCTTCCTAGTTACTTATAGATCCTTACTACTTATACTTGTTACTTATAGTTCCTTATAGATTCCAATTATTGGACTAAACTTTTTTTTTAATCATTAGTAAAATGCTAAAAAAATTAGCATTACTTCAGTAACAGATTCTAAATTCAAAAACCAAAACAAAGAATATAACCTTTGCAGTAGAACATATAAAAAGAAACTAGAGACCATATCTTTGCTCCTAATTGTCAGATTTTAACGATTTTTTTTTTTTACAAAATTTCATAATTTTTAAAAAATCACACAATATTGACAAAAAAGTGTATACTTTGGTATTCGTTATCTAATTTTACTATCCCTTTTATCTTTTTTTCCAGCTCCTTTTCATTGAAGTATGTTATATAGATAAATTTAAAGGGCATCAAGAAGAAGACTTTAGCCAGTTTCATTGAAATCGGTAAATTCATTTAGATGCTGCAGTCAATAGCAATGCCGGTTTTTTGGCCGCTATTTTGAAAGTAAAAGGCGGATAGTAATGTCGATAAAGGGTCATCCTCGGGTGACCTCTGATTTTATAACCAAATTTGAAAAAAAATCGGTCCAGTAGTTTCTGAGAAAATGTGTTGAAGGCGGACAGACAAAAAAAATTTGTATTCGTTTTTCGAATTCTACGTATCCTGAAACGTAAAACATCAAATTTTGAGAGGTGGTTAAATTTTTTAATTTTTTTCTATTACAATGGTTCATTATTGAAAATAATAAACCAAAAATCCAAAATTGTATTAATTTGCATAGTTTTTGATAAAAATAGTATATATAAGCAATTTGCACATTCCTAATGAAAGTCAAAATAATTATCATTTACTTGTGTCTTAACTTTTACATCTCAAATTTAGTCACTAATATTTATTTACCTTTCTTGTCATGACCGTTGTCAGAATGATACAGTAGATAAGAATTAATAATTTTCTACTTGGTGAGTGGTTTATTTTATTAAAACCATTTTGAACAAAATTAAACTACAAGTTTAATCCACTAGATTAATTTATCATTATATAAATTGATTGTTAATCAAGTGGATCTAAAGATTTACTAACTAGTTGGGTAAATTAATTTATCATTATATAAATAGATTGTTAATCAAGTGGATCTAAAGATTTACTAACTAGTTGGGTAAATTAATCTATAATTATATAAATAGATTGTTAATCATCAAACGGGTCTAAAGATCTAATAAATAGTTAAGTAAATGCACCAGGCACCAGTAGCTGGCATGTTTAAGGAAATTCCTTTCAACTTTTAGGTGTAAAATCTTAAATATTGATGTTATTGTACTTTTCTTTGATCCAACGTATAGAACTACTTCTCAGTTTATCAAGACACATTTTAAATCCATAAAACATCCATTTAAATTTTTAAAAAATATATAACTTAAGAGAATAATTTTGTAGTTGACACTATTTGATTTGGAATATTTGTCTAACTGATATGGATGAAAGCGAGGACTTAATTATGTGAAATAAGTGTTGAAATTTTTATTCTTCATTTTAAAATAGATATTAATAAAAATTACCTTATACTATTACAAAACTAACGTCTTACATTTCCCAACTTAAATTTATTGTTAAATGCTAGTCATTGTTTTAAAACCTATATTTGCTTTATATTTAATCCAAATCACTAGGATTTTTTTTGTAACAAGAGAATAGTGAATGGTCCCATTTTTAAGACCCGTCATACTAAGTATACCTCTTTAAATTTATGAGAAAATAGGACTGTCAGCTACTGAAAATAGGCCCCATTATAAAGCTCCAGTAGCTAACACCCATTTAATTTCCAATTCCCTCACCAACATAAGTTAAAAACAGATAAAACATAATCTAAAAACACTATAAGAAAAAATATAACAAAAATTTTGGGATAAATCAAAATAGTTAAAAAAGAAAGTAGTTAGTTAAGTAATCTTATTATTCCTATTTTTCTAGAAGAATGTCAGGTCACCGTTAGCTACTGGCGCTTTTACTCTACTGTTGTAATGTACGTTTCCTGCTTCTTTTTCAGGTATGGTCTAACAAGACATGGCAGCCTCTGAAAACTTTGTCTGGTCATGATGGGAAAGTGATGTGCCTCGACATTTCACCTGATTCAAAGTACATAGCAACTGCATCTTATGATAGAACATTTAAACTATGGACACCTGAAGAAGCTGTCTAATACCTCACATTTTTGTAAAATTTATAATATATTTTATTATTAAATTGTATATTAAAGTGTATCTGTTAATTTTAATCCTTGCGATATATTCCTAATAAAATATTTTCATAAAAACACTTTTTCTGCTGAAGCTCTCATAAAATGGAAAAATAATTTTTTTCATTGGCCCATTTTTGTTTCTGCCACTGATCTGAGCTAAATATTTAATCAATTAAAATATGCATTATTTTCAAATTATAATGTATATATTTCAGCTACTAAACGTAAGAAAATGTCAAAAACAGATATATAGGGTCAGCGTCAGCAGTAGTATCAGTAGCTGGCGGTGTGTGTACCAATACCTGCCATCGCTTTGAGAATAACATCGCACGACCTCCGAGACCGACCTCTATTTCATACAATTTTGGTTTCTATATTTTCTCCTTACTTTCTATATTTGCCTGCTTTTCTTAAGTCTTGCCATAAACGGTAACTTGGTGTCGGGGACGGTCATCGTCTCGAACCCTTAGGTTTGAGTCGTGTCCCTCATTGACTGCGGAGGTGCAGGCATCCTCCTGTACATCGGCAGGCAATGTAAAGCCGTAGCGATCTATTGATTGCGGAGCCTGAGACCAATCGTGCTCTGAGGTCAGGGAAGCAGCTTCCCGACCAAATTGGTACTACGGGGCGTCGCCGGAGCCCCGGCGGCGCTATGGGTGGACGGCGAGAGTGCTTGCACTGTTCGGCCGTGGCGGTCGTAGTGGTCGTTGTGTTTACGACTACTCGCTGCACGACACCAGTGTACAGATAGTCTTGGCGTTGTTCAGGCTATCTTCTGGTACAGTGTGTAGCGAGTGGACGGAAGTTATGGTAGTAGGAGTTGTCTTATTCCGTGGGCTCCTGTTGTGAGCCTGCATTCTTTGTGGTGTACCCGGTCCGGGGAGTAAGGTTGGAGGCCGGTTAAGGCTAAAAACGCTAGGTATGGCTTCCAATCGATGCTCCCTTGGTCCACAGTGTACCCGATGGTACCTCAGTCCACTTGGTGTCCCAGGAAGAACCATCTATCAATAAGGGAACGTTACCTTAGCTTTATCTTTAACTGCTTCCATTTATCCCAAGCTTTTGGCTTTATTTTTACTTTCACTTACCTATAAATGTAATATATAGTAAGAGAAAGTATTGCGATTGTGAAAATTTTCAAATCTTAGTTTTCAACGGAAATACACGTTTTGAGGTCCCCTGAATCCAAAGAACCAAGTCCTGCAAAATGGCCTGCGTGTCTGTATGTGAACAGCCTAACTCAAAAATTAAAAGTCGTACGATACTGATCTCTGTCAGCAAAAGTGAACCTCTGTACCAAGAGCTTCCCCCACCTCTACCCGTTTCCCCACCACCACTCATCTCCCCCCAATCCTTAGCTGAGTTTAGCTGCCTAATAGTCCTCTTTAACTGGTTTTAACAAAAGCAGACCCTGTTTTTATTTAAAGTAAGTTTTGTTTAGTTTACAGCGAAGCAATCGTTAATTGCTTAAATTAAATAGTTTTTGGGTTATCACTTAGTGTTCAACAAAAAAATTGTCTTACTTAAAAAATCACAAAATTTTAATTACATACATTCCTAATGAAAATGGAAAAATAATTTTATTCTGGTACTACAGTCCCCTAAGAATAATAACAGTGTTACAAATTTATTGGTATTAGTCTGGCTGAAAATAATAAAAAATACATGCAAATATACTGCTTATTGTTATTGCAGTTGACATTAAACAGTATACAGATACAAGTAATTTTACATATTAGCGGAAGTTTGAAGCAAGTGGTGGAACAGGAGTTTTGAAGGAATTTGTGGACGAGGATTGACGAACTCCTGGGGATCCCGAAGATGTATGCATGTATAAAACAGTTCATGAGTTTCTTCAGTCTCATTTCTAGCCTGGTAGATAATCCTTCATACACCAAACAGACATAGTCGAAGTTTTTTTTTTAATCTGTTTATTGAATAATAATACAATCAGCCACTGCTGGAGGGCTATAAGCATTAGGGCTACAAGTTCTCATTCATACAATATATACAAATAATAAAGAAATAAATATAAATATAATAAGTAAATAAATAATACTGGTGAAGAAGTTAAATAAAAATAAAATAAAATAAAAATTTCTAAACACAATCATACCTATATACAATATATACATTCGCCCAAGAATCTCCGAGCCAGGCTTTTTCCCCCATACGTGGAAGGCGAAGCAAGACTCCGGGAGATCCCAGCGCCACTTTTCCAGCCGCATCACTAGTATTAGAAGCCAATGGAGACTGAAAGAGGGCACTACAGCCACAGACGCTCAGGACATGAGTGGAGAAGCTGGCCATTGCCAGGACTCCAAAGGCATATTTACAAAAGATCTCGAGGCCACTGCCGTTTCAACCTTCGAGGGGGATGGTATGGATGTTCGGAGCTGGATAGGGATTGCGCTAGAGGATTGGGATGATGAATGAGGTTCTGGTGAAAGTTGGAGAATCTGGATGGGATGATGTCATGGACATATGGGATGTTAAGGTCATGGTGTAGGGTCTTGTTCGTGACATAATATGGAGCATTGACTATTGTTCGAAGGACTTTGGACTGGAAGGATTGGATGCGTTTGATATTCGATGATTTAGTTGTCCCCCACAGTTCAAGTCCGTAGGTCCAGATAGGTTTCAGTATGGTCTTGTAGATTAATAATTTGTTTTCTGTTGAGAGATGAGATGTTCTGTTTAGTAGTCTATATAGCTGACCAAATCGTCGGTTAAGCTCTTGTCTTTTAAGTCTGGTATGTGGGTTCCAAGTCAGTCTTTTGTCCAAAAGGAAGCCAAGGTATCGGACTGTGTCTGAGTAGGGAAGAGGAATTGAATTAAAAAGGATTGGTGGACAGGATCTGCGTCGAAGAGTGAAAGTTACATGCTTGCATTTTGATTCATTAATTTTGATGCGCCAGTTGTTGCACCACTGCTCAATGAAGGAAAGGTGTCTTTGCAGGTTCTGAGACGCTATTAGAGGATCCGAGTGAGAGGATAGGATGGCAGTATCATCAGCAAATGTTGCTAGGAAGGTATCAGGACTTGAAGGGATGTCAGCGGTGAAAAGGATGTAGAGAACTGGGCCCAAGACACTGCCTTGTGGAACACCAGCCTCAATTGGATAATGTTTGGAGAGTTCAGTGCCGCAGCGGACTTGAAAGGAGCGATTTGAAAGGTAGGATTTGAGGACTAGGTACAAGGGTTGAGGTAAATGGGTTTTGAGTTTGAAAAGCAAGCCATCGTGCCACACCCGGTCGAAAGCTTGAGCTACGTCCAGAAAGGCACCAGTGCAATATTGCTTGTTTTCAAGTGCAGAGGATATGTGGTCGACAACGCGAAGGCCTTGTTGGACAGTGGAGTGTCTTGAGCGGAATCCAAACTGATGGGGAGGGATATTGTGGGATTCGAGTATGGGTAGGATGCGTTTGAGAAGGATTTTCTCAAAGATTTTGGAAAGGATCGGAAGTAGGCTTATCGGTCAATAGGATGATGTATAATTAACAGGTTTACCTGGTTTAGGAAAGAGGATAATTATGGAGTGTTTCCACACCAGAGGAAAGTGGGTTGTGCGGAGGATACAGTTGAATAGGTATGTAAGGAATATAATTGCTTTTTTGGGAAGTTGTCTGAGGATCTGGGAAGTAAGGAGATCGTGTCCTGGAGATTTGCGAGGTTTTAGGTTCTTTAAAAGGAATTTGACCTCAGAGGGGTTGACGGCTGTAGGAGGTAAGGAGAGAGGAATCGGTGAAGAGAGGAACTCTTTAACTTCAGCAGTATGGGAGGGATGGAGTTCAGGATGAGGAGTGAATGTGTACGATAGATGTTTAGCAAACTCTTCTGCTCTATTCTCATCTGACGAAGCCCAGGAACCATCATCACGGCGGAGGGGGTGGGAAATGGATTGGAATTTAAGGATTTTTTTAGTTACATTCCAGATGGAGTTATCACTTGCAGATAGTGAGGAAAGATAGGAATTATAGGATTGGGATCTAAACGTGGCCAGTTTTTGTTTTACTTGCTTGGAATAATAGTTATATGATTTCCGATCATCAGGATGCCTGGTTCTTTGCCAGATAGCCCTAGAGCATCGTTTTCTATTAATAAGGTCCAGTAGGTCTTGGGGTAGAGGATTTGTTTTGCGGTATTTTTTAGAAGGATCAGGTGAAGATGCAGTCCAAACTGCTTGTTGGATCAACGTAGTCATGGAATGTACTGCTTCATCTAGGTCTGTAGGTGTTTTTAAGGAAACTCTGAGGTCAATATTATCATCCAGCATTTGACGGAAGAGGTTCCAATTAACTGGCCCCCTGATAAATGAAGGTGGAGGTGGTTTGGGAATTGGTGATGTGGAAACCGTTAGGATTAGGGGACTATGGTCTGAGGAGAGATCATCAAGTCTTGAGATGCAATAATTAAGGGACCCTAGACCTTTGTGGATGAAAAAATCTAGGAGATCGGGATTGCGGTTAGGATCTGTTGGCCAGTATGTGGGAGAATTGGGTGAGAGGATGTTGCTGTGATGGGAATTAAGTGCAGCTAGCAATGTTCGTCCTCGGGAATTTGTGGTTCTGGCTCCCCATTGCTGGTGTTTAGCATTTAAATCTGCACCTAGAAGGAAGTGGTGTCCTAAGGAGTTAAGGAAGGAAGTTAATTGGGATTCTGAGATGGGTATTTTAGGCGGGGAGTATGCTGCGACTACTGTTATTGGGTAAAGGGAAGTTTGGATTATCACGGCAGTGGATTGTAGGAAATTATGGGTTGGCAAAGGGAATAGATGATGGGAAACGGATCTATGGATAATTATGGCAGTGCCACCATGTGCTGTTCCATCAGGATGGTCGGTTCGATAAATATTGTAGCCGGGAACGTTGATTTGTCGTTTGTTGGTTAGTCGAGTTTCAGTTATTAGTGCTATGTCGATGTTTTTGTCATGTAATAAGATTGTCAGTTCGTTGATGTGGTTCCGAATACCATTCGCATTCCAAAGGAGAATGGAGAGGAATTTGGTTGATGACATTTATGGATTTCTTGGCAGTGGAATGAGGTTGGATATAACATTGGTAAGTAGCGAAATAAGAGGAGTAATGAGAGATCTAAATTCGGAAAGGAAAGATGTCAG